TCTAGGGTTCCTCTAAACAGAGGCTCTTCCCCAGGTTTTGGTAATGGCGTAGTTTGAATACGAACCTGTTTAAAGTAAGGTTCACTTAAAATTAAGCACTAACAATGAAAAGTTTTACACTCAACATTATTATATTTGTTTGAGTTAAATGACTTAATTCTTCCCTTTAGTTCCCTTTAGTTCTAGCACAGAAGTATTATGCATGTCAAGTTAACAGTCTGTATCTCTCTCATGCAGTTGCAAAAAGAGAGCCTGAAAAAAAATTCAGGCTCGCTGGGATTGGAACCCTGGCCTCTGCAATCTGTTCTGCAATCAGGACAGAACGAAATCGACACTCAATAAAAATTGAACATAATTGATCTTAATCGATACTAATGAAATGACTAATCTCAAACATTGATGGGAATTGATTGCTCCCTTTCTTGAGATTATCGATTATGATCGATTTTTTGTAATAAGCTATTGATTTTAATTGATCTGTTCGACAAGTATCAAAATCACAATGAAAGAAGATTGCCTGTGTTGATTCGCGTTCAATTTTTTTTTTCAGTTTTAGTGCTGGTATCTTTGCCTCTCACAGCTCACCTTCATTCATGTCGTTACTTTACTCTCCCCTGATTGTTTGGTTTAACAAATCCACAGAAGGGAGAGAAAGTAGAAGCTCATACCTGCCAGGATGTTAGTATAGCAAGTTGGATTAGGCACTGGATACATGTGGACAAAGTTGACTAAAGATTATATGCACTGAGATTACTGATTACACTGATCACTGATTATCAATGAGAAAGAGTTAATGTCATTATTTGCAGTCACTGGCTTACAATCTAAACAAATTGGTGCTTGACCAGTGCTCGAAATTCTTCAAGAAAAAGCCACACTCTTTTTAAAGATGTCTTCAGCTCTCTACCTCTCCTTTAATTTGCTAACTAAAGGCAGGGAATACAATGCGTGTGAAATTTTTAATTTTTCAATTTTTCCTGTACATTAGTTGGCGATATTCAATACTCAAGGAATGGGGAACTGAGCACTTCAGGATTTTCTTAATGCTGCTTAAGGCTGGAATATGAATATTAATAATCCATACATTCATACAATAGAGATAATAAATACTGACCAATTCCCAGTTATGAGCTTGCTAGCTGAATTTGTTAGAACACCGCAACAGTATTGCAGAGGTCAGGATTTGAGGCAAGCCTGAATTCTCTGCAACTCCCCCAAGATGGAAGTACCCCAACATCGCGCAGGGCTGTCATTAAGGTGCGGGGGCCGGGGATTTCCCCCCGGTTGCTAAGAACGCGGCCCCCAGCCACTTTCGTATGAAAATGGAAGAAAAATAGAACCAAAAGAAATTCCCTGTTTGATTCCCTGCCTACTTGTTGTATTTACTCGCCAACTTGAAAACTTAGGGGGTGTTAACATGAGAAAACTTGCACCGGCGCGAGTTTCATACCAGGATGACTTTGTGATTTTGTATCACGTTTACATGTTGACTGGGCCATTTCGTATCTTGTTAGTTGAAGGTACAATTCATATTGATAAAATACACGTGTGAATCAAAATCGCAAATATTACGCATGTGCTACCCGTTCCAGTCTACCAGTAGACAGATTTCACACCGAAACGGGCAATCGTTTCGTGTTTACATGATACAAGATTTTGTACCAGGGTGAAATTCTCGCCCCGGTACAAGAACCGGGGTGGGGTGACTCAAGCTGGCATGACATTTTTGTGGTGGTATCATGTCAACAAATATAGAGCCATGAGAGGGAACCGGAGTGAACTCGCTCGGGGCAAAAGTCGCCCCGGTGTTATCCGGGGGGGGGGGGGACTGCCATATATGGGCTTTATAGGTATGTGCGGCTGTGAAGGGTATGGTTTTCAAGCAGTTTACTCTAGGACAGGGTATATAAATCAGAGCGTTTGAGTCTAGAATAGGGTATCATTTTTTAAGAAACTGATCAGTTGGTTGAAGATTTTATCTAGACTAGGGAAACAGGTACTCTAGGATAGGGGGATTTGGGAAGTTTACTCTAGTATAGGGTAGCAAAATTTAGCTCAGCTAGCTCTGGTATAGGTTAAGGGTTCCAGGGTCCCAGCGGCACATCCCCACCCAGAAATTCCAGAAGTACCCCCCCGGGGGTGTCATGAAAACATCCCCTTAGTGACAGCCCTGACCGGGGATGAAATTGAGGTATCGATTCCCGAGAGCAATTCGCGGGCCTTTTGTTGCTTTCAATCGATTAGGCTCACTTCAGCAGTATTAAGATGAGATTGGAAAAAGAGACTACGTTACATTACAGGGTCGTTAATTAAACCAATTAAAGAAATGTGGTGAAACATAAAGCTTACAAGCTTACACATATTAATTACACGACCAGTTTACTCGTTGAATGTTGTCTTTGAGACTTTGACACAGAAAATAGAAAGACTCTGTATATCACGCTACTTGATTTTGTCATTTAACTTCGGTGTACAAACAACCAATTAACAAACAAAAGCTTTAACACAGGAAGAAGTTGCTGAATATAAGCTTTAATACTGTATACCGACCTTGATAGTGTCCAGTGGATGTCCAATGCTAACTCCGACAACTCCCCCAATACCGCCGGCCAGAAAGCTCCTTAAGCCAGAAGCGCTCCGACCTTGCTCGCTTTCATTGCTCTCTGATTCTATAGTAACTCTACTGGGAGACAGTACAGTTTCCTGTAACTGCTGATCAGAGGTTTCCATTTGATTCAATAATGAGGAGACATGTTGCCATGACCGTGACTTACGATTGCCGGCTCTACTACGTTGCGTTACACAAACTGTTGTCTGCAACGGGGGAGGGGTGGATTATGGTCAAGATCTCAAGTTCTCTTAGGGCCTGTTTACATGGAGTGGGGGACCCCGGTCTAGATGGGTTGGTTTCTTTTGTTTTTACGCTCTGGGGGACACAAAACAAAAGAAACTTACCCCACTAGACCGGGGTCCCCCACTCCATGTAAACAGGGTCTTAGTATGTGTCGCCCGGGCGGGGGGGGGGAGGGGTGCCTATACCAGAGCTAGTTTAAGTGAATTTTGCTACCCTATACTAGACTAAACTCCCCAAATCCTCCCCTATCCTAGAGTAGCTGTTTTCCAGAAACAACTGAGGTCACTAGTACATTCCAGCCAAAACAAAAACCGATTTGATTTTTTTATATTCTTGCGTGGCAATTCCCGGTTTTCCTAGTCTAGACTAAAATCTTCAGCCAATTGATCAGTTTAAATGGAAAATGATACCCTCTTCTAGACCCAAACTCTCTGATTTATATGATCCCAGAGTAAACTGCTTGAAAGCCATACCCTTCACAGCGGCACTTACCTATATAGCCCATATATTGCAGTACCCGCCCCCGCCCAGGATGTGTTGTGAGATCATGAGAGAAGGTATGTATAGTTTTCGAAGGTCTTGAACCTGAGATACGGATACTGAGGGTGTCTCCGTACGGGCGGGGTGAGTTTAGAGAAAATGTAAAGGCTTTCTTTCCCAAGGGACAGAGCAAACTGTCCAATAACGGCCCGGGGGTCCCCCGAATGACGATGCCCGTCAGCAGCAGCGGGGGTTGATGGTGGTTGGGGGAACTCGAGTTTGAAGGGACGGGGATGATCTAATGCGGACAAAAATCAAAACTAAAAAGAAGGCTAGGACTTCCAACAAAAAACCCAAAGAAGTCCCGGGACCAAAAATTAACTGGCCCCAAAAATCCTAACCTTAAAAAAAAATCGAAAACTGATATAAGTGATATAACACGAAAAATAAAATCATAATGATTCCAGAGCATCAAGGGGATGAGCAGACAGACTGAGGTGAGTCCGGATTGGATGTGAGGGTGAACTTCCGGTACCAAAGACATGGTCAACTGAGTTTGCAATTGGGATACCATCTGAGTAGCCTGGGACCAGGCTCCGCAGTGGGGGAAAAAGGCAAAAAAACGGGGTCAAATAGGAAATAAATCGGCGAGCGAAGCGAGCCCATCGGTGGGCTGGGAAGGGGGGGGGGGGGGCTACCGGGGGGGAATAGCATTACAAAATAAGCGTTCTCGAGGTAGTTGTAGTTGTTTATGTCAACTTGGTCGACCCTGCGATTTTCCAAGTTTTGCAATTTTTTTGTAACATCCGCAAACTCGCTTCACTTAACAAGAGAAAGAACAACGATTGCCATATATTGAAAGCAGTCGAAAAATCGCAAATTTTGCAGCAACCATGGAAGTAAGTGGACAAATTAAGCTGAGGTGCAATTATTCTGTAAGCCTCTAGGGCGTGATTCTAAGAAAAAGAAAGTGATTGTATGAAGGCTAAAGTACTCTCATAACGAAATTCATAGGCCTGACCGAAGACTAAGACACAAAAGGGTGTAAAGACTTAAGCAGTAATGAGGAAACGGATTGAGAAAAAAAAGCTTTGTTGCATTTAATTTTTTATGCAAAATATTTTCAGTTATAACCTCTAACGAACAACATTTCGGCTTCTTTTTAAAGTTATAACACTCCGGTAAAGAACTGGTAATTGACCAAGGTTAAATGGTGTAGACTGTGAAGCATAACGGAAGTGGCAACGCGTGAGTGGCACGAGAATTGTTGTGGTTTGCCGCTCGCTCGCGCGTTCTCTCGCGCGGATCAACTCACTTGCTAAGAAAAGCTTGTTCGCATGCTATTGAGATTAGCAATTATTGTAAACGAAACACTTTAAAAAGTGACTGAACAATACTCACCCAACAACTCGACTCTATACATCACGCAATAGCTTACCAAAACCACAAATGCTCTGTCATGTCTGTTGCTGACCATTAGTATCGCAGCTTTAGAAGAGCCTTTGCGCGCGCAAAAGAATCTTAACATGTTTATGACATCACTACAAACCTCACTCTTGGAAAAAGAAAAGCGAAACTGAAACTAAACGGAGATATTTTATAGAGTCAGTGATTTTTATCTAAAAAAGATTGTTTTGGTGCATTTAAAACATTTCGTCGACTAACGATGGCACAGATGTATGTGTACAGCTACGAGCAGCTGGTAGCAATTGTAAACCAACAAAACGCTACAATAGGCCAACAAGCTGCAGTGATTAATAATCTGCGATCAGAGCGACAGTGGCTGGAAGAGGACAATCAGATCCAGAGAGAGGAGTTGGAAAAATCTCAAAAGAACCTCAAGGATCTCGAAACATCGAGAAAGTTAAAAGAAAATAAATTGAGAAAAGAGTTACAGAGGCTAAAGGAATCACATGGAGACATCAAGTGGAGGCATAAGAACGCTGTTAGGGAATTAAACCATGAGAAAGGAAAAACCTCAAGATGAAGGCTCACTGCACTTCACTGTTGGAGAAGCTTGATGAGAGCACCCAGGAGCTTCAGCAGAAACAAAAAGAACTTGACCGAGCAAAGCAGGAACTCGATTTGGGCTACACTCTGGGCGAGTGGATATATCAGCACCTTAGATATTATTACTGGGGGTATTTTGAACTGCTAAAGTACTTCCAGTGGTCCGGGCCATCGTCTGGAGGAGCGACCATCACAGAGCTCGACAGTAATGAAATAACACCAGTGGAAGAAAACACTGTTACACTGCTGCCTCACCGTTATAGCCTAACACAGGGAGTCCTGGCGTCATCAAAACCATGTTCGAAAACAGTCATAGTACCTCTATTAGACGCCGACAGAATACCTGCACCTGTGAAAATGGTGAGGGAAACGGAAACGGATTCCAAAACAATTCTGACAGCGCAGAATATCATCCAGTCAGACAGAAGTAACAGCATCTATCCACAAACAGCTTACATCCCGAGCAATGCTCCCTCCCGAGACCTAAACCCAATCGAGTTCCTGCTCTTCAATAATAACACCACCAGTTGGTCTATCTGTCAAGTTCCTGGCGTTCCTCAAATATCAGCTCTCCACAGTGAAGTGCTTAAAAGACCGAGCAATCACCCGCAGCTTGCCATCTCTGCACCTGAGTGCCTTAATACAGCAAACAAACCACCTGGAGCTGTGGAAGGAGTTGGCCCAGCACCTTGGAGACCAAAGATTGAGCCTTTAATCCCTACCACTGTAACCAAATCAACGGGAGTTAACATCACCTCTTGCGACACTGAGACGTTTGAATCTTCGTCAAAGGAAAGTAAAGAGGAACACGACATTGGAAGTGACGAACCTAAAGATGGACATTGCCAGTCGACCACTGTTTCTTCCGAGCATCGGTTCCCCCTCGCGAACAACGGCCGTGAACTTGTAGACTTTGATGGTGAAAAACAAGTTTCAACTCTTAAACGAACTGGAGTGAAAAAATCACAGTCTTTGGTGAGTTGGCTAAAAACTTCACAGATATACTCTACAAAATTTAACTGGCCAAAAAGGGTTTTAGTAGATCAAGTTTTATGAAGATCGTGGAAGCGTCGAGAACTATGTATGCACTAATAAGTAAGTGCGTGATTGACGCTGGGGTTAGGGTGACGTTTAACATAATTTTGTTAACCTTTCCAAGAGCATCGCAAAATAACATGGTCCGTATTTACCATAAGCAATTGTTTTAAACCCAAATTCTAACTTGCTCGTGTAAATGGGGTTTCGTTCTCGGTAAAGGCGACATTTTGTGCGCATGCTCTCTTATGTTTATCTTACTAATTTCCATGTCATGGCCGCTCTGCCGCTTTAAAAAAGAGTTCATGACTAAAAATGGCAGGTTGCTGGAAATTAAAACGCTGTCAATGTCTCGGACCAAAAAATCTTAAAAAGTACCTTATCAGTGTGGGTAAGTCTTCGTCGTTCTTGAAGACAGCGGTTTAATTAACTGAGTATTTTAGTACTAAACAATCTCCTTTGGTTTTTATACTTTATCTTTGCAGAAGGAAAGAGTGAACAGATTTATCTCCTGGCTACGACACCATTCTTGCCGCAGACCGAAAGCAGAAGATTGAATACCTATATTATTTTTATTTTTTATCTATATTTTATTTATGTTTTATCGAATTTTGTGATTGACTGCGAAGTTTTTCAGAACAACAACAACAGCAACAACAACAAATACTAAAACGGCCAAGAAATAGATAAAAAACAAAACAGAACACTGACAAATGAAAAAAATAATAGAATTTTAAAAATAATTTTAAATGCGAGAAAAAAAACCATAAAAGACAAAAAACAAAAAAAAGTAAGTACAATTGTGTAAACAATTCCCCTAAACCTTACCCCTGACCGTCAGGTGTCGGAACTTGCTCTTCACAATATATAAGCGATATTCAAATAGACACAATGAATTGGGCAAAGCTGACAGTACTACGTAAAAGTTAGCTTAGCAAGACCTCAACACGACATCGTGGATGTATTGCAAAGTTAATTTTCACGTAGTACGGTCAGCTTTGCAGAATTCAATGTTTCTACTTTGTATGTTTTTGCAGATCAGGTCTTCTATAGATCCTACGTTCTGCGGCATATATGAGCGGAACGTGAGAGGATCGAAAAAAAGAAAAATACAGGGTTATAAGAACTTCAGTCGACCAAATATAGCCTGCGTGGCAGGTGGGTGGCAGGCGTTGGAAAGGGGAGGGGAGAGAGGATTTCTCGGGGTAAATTTCATTGGAAATCTTGATTAAGGGAAAGGAATTTAGTTCGACAAAGCAGGGAGTTCGAATTATTCGAGTTCGAGTTGCCTTTGAAATAAAAGTGATTTCTCTAGGTTCCGCATCTCCCGCGATTCCGCGTTCTTTGGTTCCAAGCTTCTTGGCTCCTTGCCTTGGCACGTATCCCATCATACCTACAGGGCGGTGTCAACATGCTTGCTGCAGGAGAAGCTTCTAAGCAATCAAGTCATCGTTCCCAAGACAGATTTAGACTCCAATCTTACTAGCTGTTCCTCTTTCCGGTTACATTTTCCTGAACCCATGCTTTGTTCTACGATGAAAGATGTCACATAGACCTAGCATTGTGAATTTTGAAGAAAGATGGGCTAAGATCCTGGAAACATTGCAGTCTGTAGTGACACTGAAGAAGATTGACCGAGCAGTGTATAACGACAGATTCGCGTATCCTTGTACTTTCTTGCCTTTCCAATAAGTATCGTTGACGCCTGTAATAAGGGGTGCACACACTGATTTAGCGTTGGAGTTTCATCAGGAAAAAACGGTTCGTTCTAAGCTATGGAGAAACCGTGAAGTTATACAAGTGTTGCAAGTTGGTTTTTTAATACTTATTTATAAAATTGATCGTAATTAGCTAAGTATCTTTGCGTACCGGGATTTGTTGTTTTAAAAAATAATGGAGAAATCTTAGAAAGCAAAATTGGTGATTAATACATTTATTAGTTTTTATCATTCTCATTTAGTTTTTTGGGTTTTAAGGGTACCATATTTTATGAACCCGGAAAAAATAAGCACTATAATGTGTGATGAATGTGTCTTTTGTAATGTTATTTATGTGAATTGATTGCATTAAGTTTTTCATTTATTTTTTGATGATCGAGGTGACATGCTTGTTACAGATTCATTTCTTTCAACGTTTGACATGTAAAAGCAAAAATTTATTAAAACCACAGAAAAAGCAATATAAAATCAGGGAAGTTTCAAAGGTTGAGAGAGATTTATATGGTAGTGGCCACAACATGCCCACGTCACACAAATGTTGCTAAAATTTTGTGACTTTGTGGAGCTCTATTTTTACTCATTTCTAACAAAATATTGCCTTCAAATGGTGCAAGGTATCTAATGTTAAGGTCTCTTTTAACTATTGAATCATGGATGCTGATTAATTGATCCTAATGATAAAAGTTGAAAAACCCATCAGTAAGGGTCTATTATTTGAATTTTCATCTTATAATAGACTTAACTGATTTATATTTAAAAGTTTGTGTTTCAATTTTTTATAATATAACTGCATGAAGGTTCACAGGGAGTTAAAGCCAAAATCAGATTTGGAGGTCAGAAAACTGAAATCAGAAGTCAGAAATCAGATTTTGGAAATCAGAAAACAGTACTAAAACAGAGAACCTGGGTGCATGTTCTGATATCAGGTTTCTAAGTTTCGATTTCTTATTCTGATCTCTGATTTCTAAAATCTGATTTTTGAGTTTGATTTCAGTTTCTTGATATCTACATGTAATTTTTAAAAGGTGAATCTGATTTCTGATTTCAGGAATCAATTGCCTTCAATCTTAAGTGTTATTTCTCTTTTCGGGCCAGTAAACGCCTTTTGAATTTTCATGTAGATAGGGCTCTGCCGCCTCATTCGGATGCTCGTAGGCTAGCAAATGAGATGGGGGAGTATTTTGTTCACAAAATCACGGCTATTCGGTCTGCGCTGGATGCGGATGCCAGTGGTGCAACTTCGCTTGCCACATCAGCCTCAACATGTAGTGAGTTTTCTGAATTTTCTTCACTGTCTGAGGAGAGTGTACGGAGAATTGCTGCCTCATGTGCAAAGTCGTGCGCCTTTGATCCCCTACCATCGTCTATTCTGTCCTTCTGTTTGGATGAACTGCTCCCTGTTATTAGGAAAATTGTCAACTTGTCTCTTGAGTCTGGCGTCTTTGCAGAGAACTGGAAGAATGCTTTAGTTCACCCCTTGCTTAAGAAAGCAGGACTCAAACCTATTAACAAAAATTTTCGACCGGTGAGCAACTTGCAGGTTACATCAAAGATCACGGAAAAGTCCGTGGCTATCCAATTACAAGATCATATGACAGCCAACAACTTATTTCCTGTCCTCCAAAGCGCATATCGGCAGAATCACAGCACTGAGACGGCGTTATTAAAAGTTAAAAACGATCTTCTGCTAAATATGGACAAAGGTCACGTCACATTGCTTGTTATGTTAGATCTCAGCGCTGCGTTTGACACCGTAGATCACGGTATTCTTCTGCACAGGCTGCAGTCCAAGCTTCGCCTTCGGGATAAGGCTTTATCATGGTTTAAATCTTATTTGGCGGGAAGAACGCAGCAGGTCTCAGTTAACGGATCCCTCTCTGATAAATTTAATCTGACTTGTGGGGTCCCACAAGGTTCTTGTTTGGGCCCCCTCTTATTTACCATCTACGCGAGTTCGCTGTTTGACATCTTGAAATCTCATCTGCCATCCGTTCACACCTATGCGGACGATACGCAGCTATATATATATCGTTTAATCCCGTTGATAAGACCAGCGAGGCTGATGCTGTGATTGCGATTGAGAACTGTATTCGTGACGTTCGCGCATGGATGAGAGATGATAAGTTAATGCTAAATGACGATAAAACTGAGTTCTTGATCATTGGCACGGAACGACAGTTATCAAAGGTGTCCGTTGACAAGATCAAGATCGGCCAAGCTGAGG